TTAAGCCTGTCAGACGTGGCTGACGTGGGGCAGAGCCCGAGATCAGCGTTTAAAGGGCCACCGGGAGCGGAGATGTGTGAGAAGCGCGGTTTTGTGTTTCTGCAGACGAGTGTATTCGCCATCCGATTCTTTTTCGTGTAAAAGTGTTCTATACTGGCACCAGTTGAGCGAAGACGATCACGTGACAGCACAGGGCACCAGTGCAGCGCGGAGAGCATGTGGAGGGCAGCCCATTTTGCTCCAACTGAAGGTGCTGGGACTGAACTTGAGTCACATGGTCGCGCTCCTCCTCGGGTGTGACCTGGCGTAGGTAAGTGCTCCGAGGACCGCGTGTGTGGCTCCCCTGGCTCTCGCAGGGCCTTGCTAGAGGGCGAGTGGACAAGGCCTTACGTTTGTGAATGAGTGTCGAGTGAGTGAAATGAAGTGGGCCTTGCAGACGAGGCGAGACAAGGTGAGTCAGCCAGGAGGGAGGGAGGGTGGGAGGGAGGAACCCGCCCCGGGCCACAGGAGGATTTCCCAACAGGATTTTTTGGGAGAGCCTGAGCATAGATCTACTGTTCTGGCACTCGGGCATGAGGCTTACATGCCGATCAGTGATGAGTTGATTGTGGAATTGGCAATAGTTTTGTTGAAATGAAACTAAGGGCATTTTAAGCAGGGAAGTTTCTTGCCTAACATCTCAAAGACTTTTTCTTGCTATCTCAAGTAACCCGTGTAGATGGCGAAGACATTCGCTTGCTAAGTCAAGCGGTGTACCATCACCATGGCTACATCGTTGTTTGCATACCATACTGGTTACAATCCTTTGAATTTGGGCGTTGGCCAAAGACCCGCTCAATGTTTTATCAGAGGAATTACTTTTTGCAGTTTTTATTTCTGTAATTTCTATAATAATATATTTAAAGCAATTGAAATTAACTGAAAACAAAAGGAGATTATGGGAATGAAAGTTTTTTCTTATAGAGCATAAATTATTATAAGACGAACAGTTTATCTTTCACTTTTAAACTCCTCTTCTCTATAAATTGAGAAAGATAAAAATAATGACAGCAAAAATGATATTGACATTAACATAGGTGTTGAAATTGACATTGATGATAATAATGATACTTAGAAAAATTATTATTATTATCATTATTTTTATCAACTTCTGCATTCACATCTTTGTGTTATTATTAGTGTTATTACTGGAAATAATCCAGCCAACGGTTCTTGAAGGCAGGTAATTTTTCAAGATATCTTATAACATTCTTCTGTTGACTTTATATTCAATGACTATTATTTTCAGATTCATGAAATTGTATATATGGAAATTGGTAGGGCTGTAATTAATTAAGTGATGTCCATTTTGATGGTGCATCAAGAGTGTAAGGGTTGCCAGTTGGCAGTGTGTTTCATTGTTTTAGAGGCACTGTATATGCATATAGGAGAAAATATTATGCTTTGTAGAGATGTTACGGTAGATATATTTATCTAAAACTTTTATTATACAAGATACTGAAGTTTAAGCATAGAATTTTTGAGGCTTGACAAGTGATGGAGCTGTCCGTGCAGATCAGCAACACTGCTCAGGTTCTAGCAATCATTTTAAGCAGCGAACAGTGCAGTTCTTGGCCTCAGAGCAAGAATTCTTGACCATGTGCTCCCTTGCAGGAAACGCCTTAAGTGTTGCAACATTTGTATGGGCATTCCTCATATAAGGGTATTGGTTGACATTCCCTTGATTGGTTCTTGAAAATAGATTATAGTGATTTGCATTGAGAAGGGAATATGAATTTGTGAGCAGTATCATATAAACGTTTTAGTCAGTGCTTAGACAGAACACCTGCATATCTGTTCGTAGCCATGTGTCAGGAAAACAGAAGTGACAACCTTTTTCCTTGATGCAGCCTATCACATGTGAGTTGCCAAGTGTTGCCAATAACCCAAATTCCATAAACCTTCATTTTTCATGAAAATACATTTTATGGTGGTTCATGAATTGCAGCAGAATGAATACTGTAATGCAGATAACAAAACGAAGGAATATGTCAAATGATGGTAGATGCACATACATGCACCCACACATATCCACACATGCTCAACACTCTTACATGGACATACACACAAGCACATACACATGTGCTTGTGTGTGGGCAAGCACACACATACATGCATACATGTTTGTTGGCAAGCATACATACACACATATACATCTGCCTACACTTGCATGCACAAGTGTATTTGCATATACAGACATGCACACATGCACACATACGTGTACACCCACACCCACATGTGCAAACACGCACTCACGTGCACATGTGTACACACATGTACATGTGCACATACATGGGCATATGTGCACATTCACTTAAACACACACACACATGTCCAGACATACACTCATGCAGATGTATAGGCATACATAAATGCACATAAGCTCACAAACACACATGTGTACACACTTGTGCATGCACATGGGCACTCACACATATACACACTCATGCATATGTGCATATGTACACACACATATATGCATGCCATGTGTGCACCCCCCCCCCCCCACACACACACACACACACACAACACACATGCACACACACACACACACACACACACACACACACACACACACACACCACACCACACACACACCACACACACCACACACACACACCACACACACACAGGCATGCACGCACGCACACGTACACACACACAGGCATGCACGCACGCACACATAACACACCACACGCGCGCACACACGTGCGCACACACGCGCATCACACACGCACTCACACGCACTCACACCACCACACACACACGCACACACACACACATGCACACACACACACACACACCACATGCACACACACACACCACACATGCACACACAACATAGCACAACACACATGCACACGCACATGCACACACATGCACACGCAACATGCACACATACATACACATGCACACATACATACACACACACATACATGCACCCCCCCCCCCCCACACACACACACATGCACACACACACCACACACACACATGCAACACACACCATGCACCACACACACACACACACACATGCACACAACACACACACACACACACACACACACACACACACACACACACACACACACAACACACACACACACACATGCACACACACACACTGCACATGCACACACACACATGGCACACACCACACACACACACACACACACACACATATAGGTGTGTGTATGTATGGTTTGGGTGGGTGCATGTGGCGTGCATGCATGCGCTAGCACACAGTGTACACACACACACACACACACACACACACACACACACACGACACACACACACACACAACCACACACACACACACACACACACACACATCCACACACCCTACACGCACACACCTGACGCACACCTACACGCGCACGGCCTACACGCGCACACCTACACACACACACACACACACACACACACACACACACACACACACACACACACACACACACACACACACACACACACACACAGTTAACATGCATATAAATGCTCCGCCAACACATGAGCACTATTCCACTCCCATTGGCTAAATTTGCCCTGAATCCGTTACTAGGTGCTTTAGCTAGTAAGCTGATTGGCTCATATACAATGTTTGGGTTGCTGTTATGCCTAGAGGAGGGTTGATGGGGGCTCTGCTCCCCACCACCCCTCTGACAGATATTGTTCGCGCGCCTTCGAGTGTGTGTGGCAAGATAAAGCTGAAACTTGGGATTGCTGTGTGGACTTTGATTTCTGTAAACTTTTTCCGTATTTATGGTGTTAGCATCTGTTCTTGTTTGTAGATTTTTTCGTTTACTAGTGAATGTAACTTTTTGTCCTCTTGTAAGAGTATTGTATTTAATTTGCCCTAGATTAATGCGTCCATGCTGTAGAGATGACCCTTTTTATTAATTTTACTATTTTTATTATTTTGTGATAATCATTACATTGATCTATTTATCTATGGGTGTGCATGCGTGCTTTTTGTAGCTTGTTGGCCCCAAGTTATGATTCAGTGCTAGGTACTTCATAGGAAAATGTTCAGCTTGTAAAAGTTATCTGTGTGAGAAATTGTATTTGAATTGTATTAGAGAATAGGGATGTCACCATTTTTTAAAGGTCCCTCCCACTGTTAACACCTGCCAGGGGATGCTTTTAGAAATTCAGGAGCATTTGTGCACTTTCAGATTTCTTAAGTCACTGTACATGATGCATTCGAACCTCATGTAAGTAACTATTTGTCGAGCTCTATTTAGATTTTGATACTAGCTGTACCTTTTTGAGCGAGAGGAATCAGTGGTTGGATGGTTTGTACTAAGCACGTCAATAATCATCTGTCAACAAATCTCGAGTACGGGCATCTCCCCGAGGCCAGTTCACATCTCTTTTGTCGTGGGCCTGATGGGGGCAGCCTAGTGTCTGCAATCTAGAATATGGCTGTTATCTTTATTATTACTGTCACCCTGCTTATCACTTCCGTTTTTATCGTGATCCTGGCAATTGTAAATGTTATCATTATCGGTATTTTACTTATTGCAGAATTTTCTGTTGCTACCTTTCTCGTTCAGTATTGTTGTACTTTTAATTTTCGTATCAGTGTTGCTATTACGTGGTCCTATTATCAGATTTTTTTTTTTTTCTGATGAGTTTTCATTATGTTTGATGATTTTCTTTTATTGTTTGTGTCATGATTATTAATATTAATTGTATCGTTATCGTCATCAATCATCATCATCCATCATCATCATCATCATCATCATCATCATTATCATTATCATCATCCATTATCATTATCATCATCATCATCATCATCATCATCATTCATCATCAATCATCATCATCATCATCATCATCATCATCATCATCATCATCATCATCATCATCTATCATCATCATCAATCATCATCATTCATCATCGATCATCAATATATATATTATTGACACCTATTTCTTTTATGACTATCATAAGCCTG